GGACCGGCAACGGGATCGCGACCCTCTGTGTTGCTCCCGTGCCTCGCTCAGCCAGTGAGCGGGCACCGGTCCACATGTGGGATCCGAACCCTCGGGCGGGAGCGCCGCCGCGCTTCCCAAGCGGCGCACTATCCAGTGCGCCACCGGGCCGGCCCTTTCCATGCTTCTTAAAATGAGAGCTGTACCTGACGGAGTTTTAAAACTAAAACCCAAAGTGCAGATAACAAGGAATTCCCTGCCAGGCTCCAGGGGACTGACTTCTTGGGAAGGGTTTTAAGAGCATCACGCTGCAGGGCCGGGGGAGCCCCTGGGCCCCTGCAGATGGGGTCTGTCACAGACACAGAGGCCTGCTCAACCACAGAAAGGAAGGGCTGGGTCTCAAACTACAGCACCTATGGGGTCCCAGGCAGAGGGACCCAGATGGCCAGGGTGGGACTTGGGCCACTCAAAGCCTGAGGTGAAAAATGGACTGTGGATGGTGAGATATACTAGGGACAGTCCTAGGAATTGCCCCCACATTAGTAACCCTAGGGTAAAAAGTGGGGTAAGGCTTGAAGGAATGAGGTGCAGATTCAGGGTACTAGAAAGGGCTTGGGTCCAGCTGCCATACTTTGTGTCCTGAGGCCCATCCTAGGTGTCACTGGCCTAGGCCTACAGAAGCGGCTTGGGCTGGGGCATGTTTCCAGGGAGGTGGGGGTGGGTAGAAATGGGTAGTGAGTTAGGGCCGGTGCTCAGTGCTCCAGGCCAGACACCAGAGGCCAACAAGGCACTTGGGAGCAGAGAGAAAGAGCACGATAGAGCCCAACTGGCCTCATTGGTCAAAGAGAGGCAACACCAGGCATCATCTACTAACAGCCTGGGAGAGGAACCCAGAGACCCCTTCTCATTTGCCAGCAGCTTCTGTAAATTGTGACTGCCATGGGCAAGACCTCAGAGTGATCCAGAAGCCTGTCCTGTCCTGAGACTGGGGAGTGGGGCTCCCAGTCCTCAAGGCAGAAGCAAGGATGGGGGTGAAGTTCAGCTGTGATGCCCCTCTGCCCCAGCTCTCAGGGAGCAAGTCCGGTCACTAAAACTCTGCAAAGTCACTTAGAGTTCAAGCCAAACTATCTCCCAAGGCACCAAGGCAGGTATCTGGGAAAACCCTCTTGGCCCAGCCAAGAGAGGAGAGGGCTGCAGCCCACAGAAGTGTTCACAAGAGATGTATTTCCCTGAGGCCCCACACCTGAGCGCCACTGTCCCTCCCCGACCTGCTCCCGCTGCTGCCTGCTCTTGCCGCCCCCCGGGCAGTCCCCTTCCCTGCTGCTGCAGTAGCGGCTGCGTCAGAGCTCCCTTGGGATGATGGAGAAGGGCAGCACGGGGCTGCTGGCCTCCAGCTCCAGGGCAGTGAGGAAGCAGTCCACGGCGGCAGCAGGCTGGCCCTGAGCCTGCAGCACCTCGCCCAGGCCCTGCCACGCTTCGTGGCAGGTGCTCTGCCTCTCCACGGCGTCCCGGAGCACTTTCTGGGCCAGGCTTTTGTGGCCCAGCCGACTCAGCATCAGCCCCTGGAGACCAAGCACAAGGCAGGGTTAGTGAGGGCATCCTGGTGCAGCTTGCTCACTGGCCACCAGCCAGAGAGGCCCCCATGCCATTTACCCTTGCTAACCCTACCTGTCCCCACCCAAGCCCTGCCTCCTCCCCAGCCTCCTGGATCTCCCACTGCAGGAGCTCAGTTCCTCCTGGCCCAAAGGACAGGCTTCCAAGTCAGCAGAACCGGCTTTGATTTTCTGCACCTGGGGAGTCCTGGGCAAGCCACAACTCTCTGGCCCTCAGTCTCATCATCTGTACATGGTAAAATCACAGTATCTACCACTAGGGTGGTAGGAACAGGCCAGTGTATGTAAAACACTGAGAACAGCACATGGCACGAGTAAGCTCCCAGTAAGTGAGACTATTCTTCTCAGTCCCTGCTTTCCATAGCACGGAGCTGCCCTTCACCCCAGGGACGCCGTGAGACTGAGGAGTATACATTACAGGCCTTCGTCGCTGCAACCGGAGAGGAGAAACTCAAGCTTGTGGCTGAAAGAGGGCAGCTCCTTAGCTTGCATCAAACAGCCAACCTTTCTGGGGACGTCTGCGTCCTGGGACGTAAGCACCCAGCCTGGCTTGGGGACAAGGGGCTGGACTGCTCAGAGGTGAAAGGCTGTAGGGGTCTGGGTCAGGGGCGGCTGGGAAGCTTGCTGTTCAAACAACTCTGTTGCCAGATAGAGGAAGTGACAGGAAATGTCACAAAAAGGGACTGGGAAGTGAAACTGGCCCCTTGTCCCTTCAATATCCTCTTCCACCTGCACTGGGAAGGGGGCAGCGTACCCTTATGGCCTTGGGTCCAGGAAGGTTGTTGTTCTAGCCCTCGAAGACAGCACAGGGACCCTCCTTCTCCTGTTCAGAGCCTGGGACAGGCGGGGGCTGGGGTGGGGGTGGGAGCTGCCTCCTATGTGCCTGGAGCCCCCTCCCCAGTGCCTGCCCGCTGATGGCCATGTACACTTTTAGCTGGAACATTTTCCTCCTCACCGAGCTCCCCAGAGTTCGGCCCTCCGTTGCTATGGAGACGCACTGGGGAAGATGCACATGCCTGATTTCATAAAGTCCGCCGAGAGCTTGGAACACAACCAATTAGGCAAGAGTGAAAGATGGTGCTCAGGAAGCCCTCTCCCTCTCCAGCCAGAGGGGACGGAGGTCCTGTGGCCAGGGCCGGGGGAGGGAGAGGGGGCCGTAGCCACAGTGCCACCATCAACCCTGGGCACGGCCACACCCGAGGCACCAGCACAGATGAGGCCAGGGGCGCTGCGGGCAGGGTGGAGCTGGCTCTGGCCAGATGGGAGCGGTGCTGACTCAGGGCGGCCCAGGACCAAGGGCAGTGTCCAGTCTGGCCGGCAGGGCTCCAGGCCAGGCTGTCCTACCCACACGGCTGAGGGCCGGACCCGGAGCAGCTCCCCGTGGAACAGGGCCCACAGGGAGGAGGGAAGGGAGGCGAGCCGACGACGGGCCGCCAGACACCAAAATCAAGCACCAAAAATGGAAGGTTTGAGCCCTGCGAGTGCTGCCCATGCGGGAGCAGCAGAGGACAGGCGGGGAAGGCCTGCAGGGCCTCCCGCAGAGGGGGGCCGGAGCGGCCTCTGCACACCAAGTCTTCTATATTGAGCTGCCACATGGGATTTTGTTTGAAAAAAGGGCTCCACCACTAAAAACGAGTTTGAAAACCCCTGATCTCAAGTGTGTGGGTGTTTGGGAAGGGGCCAGTGGTGTCTGCAGGCTGAAGTCTCTCAGTCTCTCTCTCTCCACCCCGGTTTGGAAGGTTTGCAGTCAGCTCCTCTGCATGTCTGTGTGAGGAGAAAGCCCCGGGCGGCTGGATCCCTGGCTGGGCTGGAATGCCAGCTCGGCCACCGACAAGTGCTGTGACCATAAGCAAGTGGCTGACTTTCTGAGCTGTGGTTTCCTCATCTGTTAACTGGGAAGTGGAACAATCTTTCTTCATGGGCTGCCGTGAGGATTCTGCAGTGATAGATTTGAAAACGCACAGCTGGGCCCGCGTGGTGGGCAGACAGCAAGGAGCAGCGTCCCGAGATGAGCAGAGGGTCCTTCAGGGCGGGAGGGGTGGCACAGTCCATTTCTCTAGAGGCTGGGAGAAGGCATGACTCTCGGCGGGGGAAGACTGGGGGCTGGGGTGGGGTTGGCTCACGTCCCCCCACCCTGGGGTGCTGACCTTAGAGCCTGAAAGGAGACACCGGGCCGGGGTCAGGCTGGGGCCCAGAGGCCCAGGGCCTGTAACAGGATCTGCTGCCACCTGCCCCTGACACCAGGCGAGTTCATGTTTGGTAGCAACTCAGGGCTGTTTGCTGCCTGACAACTGGGTGGGGCCCGGCCACAGGAAGATGCGGGGTCTCACCTGCTCTGCCCCCAGCCCGGCACTGCACCCACGTCCTCCGCTGTATTCAGGGTCCATCGCCACCCCTCTGGCACCCCTGCCCACCCACAGAACAGGTCTGCAGGGAGATGGTGGAAACAGATCCAGTATCTCAATTCCTCCCTAATGTCCCTGCTGGGTCCTCCCCATCCCTCAACCTAGTGAGGGTGTGCCCCATGTTGAAAGGAAAACAGATCTACTGAGAGACTCCCAGCTTCTGACCATGTCCTGGGAGATGCCACAGCTGTGCTGCCCACCCACAGGGATTAGAAAGCCGTGTTCAAGTTATATGTGATGACCAAGCACCTACAAGGGGTGCCTGGGCTGCTTGTAGCCATCAACATGGTTTCAGGCAGGGACTAGAAAGCCATGTTCAAGTTATGTGTGATGACCAAGCACCTACAAGGGGTGCCTGGGCTGCTTGTAGCCATCAACATGGTTTCAGGGAGGGGCAGGGCTAGGGGGAAGTCCCCAGAAATTCCCACTTCCACCTGCTCCTTCTTACATCCCTTCCTGGATCTCAGGGAGGAGGGGGCATCCAGCCACACCTAGGACCCTCTGTTCCAGGGGGCCTTCCCTGAGGACACAGTCCCTCCTGCCCACACAACCACCCTGAGGTCGTGCGTGTTACAGAGAGCTGTTGTGTGCAGTCCCCATCCTGCCCCTGCCCAGGCTGAGAGGGACAGGGCCCCTGTCTCTGCCTGCTTTGCTGTTCTCCACAGGACAGCAGCTCAATAGGAGGGTTCTGAGCTCAGTCGGAGGGTCCTGGAGGCAGACCAGGGACACCAGAGGCATTTGCGTGCTTACTAGCCTGCACTTGCCAGCCTAGGAGGCCGCCCCACAGAGCTTAGCCAGTCCTGCCTCTTAGGGCCACAGAGGCGGGCAGCTGGAGGGGCCCTGGGCCCTGTTGGGGTCTGGTCTCAGTCTGTATGGAGACTCTGAGGGGGGATCCCTATCAGGAGCAGGTTCTCTGCAGAGACACAGGTGGGGTTGGGGCTATAGCCTGGGATGGGATGAAGGGGAAAGAGGGTCTTGAGTTCATTTTTCAGCACTGCCACTGCCCTCTCCCACCAATTACTTCAGCAGGTTGGTCTGGGGGGTGTACTTTTTTCTTCTTTGGGGGAGGCTGCCCTGGGAAGCAGCCTAAGGCTAGGCCAGCTGCGGGCCAGGCAGAGCACTCCCTCCCCACCCCTGTCCTCAAATATTTATAGAAGTTATTTTGGGAATTTTCTTTCTGAGCTCAAGGCACATTCCTGGGATTCTGTAATAGCCTTTCCAGCTGGGAAGCCAGGAATCAGCTGGAGGCTGCTGGAGCCTTCTGGTCCCTGGGGCCCCCTGTTTGGGGACACTGGAGCTACAGGGAGGAGCCTACTCTACAGGAAGGGCTTCCTCCCCTTAGTCACCCAGGAGCAGGGACACACCCTTCCAAGGAGGCCCACATTCCAGCCAGAGCTCCGGGCGCTTTCGGCATCCCGCATCCCTGGCATTCCCCATCCTCTCAGGTGTGTCGGCCTCAACCTGCCCAACCTGACTGGGAACGAGGTGTCTGTCCAGGCTGAGAACCTACCCCTCACATCATCACCACCCTCTCGGAGCCAGGGCAGCACCAAGGCCACAGGCTGGTCCTACTTCCTTATTGGGGGGCGGGGCATAAGTCCTTCTAGACCCATCCAACACCTGGCTGACATGCTCACCCAGGGCTCCCCTGGGCTCTCAAAGGAAGAGGCCCCTGCTGAGAAAGTGCCCAGCCTAGGAGTCGGTCTCCTGCTCCTTATGTGGCTGAACTCATGCCTGCCCCTTGGGGAGGGGGTTGCTTGTTTTCAGAGGGGCAGGGGCCAGGCTGAGGCTCAGGCACTGGCTTGACCAGGGGGAAAGTCACATCTTGGGGGACTCAGAGCCTGTGAATCCACTAGGAGGTGGACTCCTTTGACAGCCCCACCTCTAGGCAGGGTGCTGGGCCTTTTCTCCTCCCTGGTCTGGGCTGGTTTCAGGATCATCTGGGTTGGCTGGGGGGCTCTGCCCACCCTTGAGCTGGCCCCAGCCGTCAGGGCCAAGTCAGGAGGCTCAGCTAGGCCTCTGGACTCGGCTACCACAGGTGAATCCCTGTGTTGGGGAGTGAGCAGGGGCCTCAGTGGCAGAAGCTCCCTGCTCTGATCAGGAGGCAGAGCTAAGGGGGCGGTGATGGCCTGTTTGGGGCGGGTTGGGGGAGCCTACGGAACAAGTGGGGAAGGGCTGCACCGTGTTGCACCTTCTAGATACAGTGAGTCTTTCTGTCACCTTTTTTGACGAAATTGATTCTGGAGCTAAATTAAGCCAATAGCACCCAACTATCATTCTGATCTGATCTGAGGATCTGATCACAAAAAGCGTCCCCTCCACTTCCTCATCAGAGTTGGTGATGGACTTCAGGAGCCCACACACCAGTCTAAGGTTTTCCAAAAGTCCTGAGCCAGGACCAGGGCCCAGGGTGTGTGCTGGGTGCTATGCCAGCCCGGAGAGGAGGAGGTGGGGCAGGGGGGCCTCTGTACACCAGAGAGGCCATGCTGGAAAGTCCTGAGCCAGGACCAGGGCCCAGGGTGTGTGCTGGGTGCTGTGCCAGCC